GCCATGCTGCTCAAAACAAAAAAGGCGCCAACATGCCTTCCCCTGTTGAATTTGCCACTTGCGATGTCGCACATTTCGTCCCGCTGCCGTTCCGCTGCCGCACATATGGATTTAATGTGACTTGCGGTACCGCACATATCGTCTCGCTGCCGTGCCGTGTCGTCCCGTGCCGTGCCGTGCCGCTCATATGGATTGTCACCTTGAGAGAGGCAGAGGAGGGTGATGGTTTTATAGATTTTATGAAAAAATCAAATTTATTTAATTATTTATTTATTATTTACTTATGTATTGCTGATGTGTAACCGATCAGCTGTTGTCCTGTCCTTGTGTTACACCCAGACCATCAAGTTTCCCGATATCAGACACGATAAGATATAATAAGATACGATACGATAAGATACTACTATATTGTCCCAGAGGGAACTTTCTTTGGCTGTACAGACCGTAAAAACACAATATTCAGGTATACATAAAAATTAAATTATACAGTGGCGTGTTAAAGAAACTTGAAAATGTAATCATCACCCAATCATCGTGTTAAAGCCAGGCAGTACCCACTCATGTAATCACCCAATCATCGTGTGAAAGCCAGGTATTACCCACTCATGAAAAAGCTAAATAAATCCTGCATCATTTGACACAATAATATTCCATGTACGGTATGAGACGCCAGAGATATGGTCACTCAAAATTGACCTTTAAAAAATCTGGCTTGGCAAAATTGTCCTAAATCAAAGAAACATGAAAATGTGTTCGCGCCAAGGACTACTATACTATGAGTATAGTAGTCCTTGGTTCGCGCCTATATTGAGGTGCATTAACATTGGTGGAATGGAGATGGGGGAAAAAAGTGCAATGTATTGTCTCTGCAATGAATAGCATCATCTGATGACATTTTTTATAAAAGATTGAAAAACAGAGCAGTCACAAACACCAGGCAAAACCTGGAATGAACATTACATGTCGTGTTCATTAGTATGATTTTGTTTTTGTCTAGGAGCTATTGCTTTCTGGTAGAGCAGGAAACCTTTTTTTTCGGGAACTTTGCTCCCAATTCAGACCTTCGTTTGCAACTCTCTCTGACATCTGGGATGAAACGACAAATGTGAGGCAGCGTGGTGGAATCAGGCTCTCGTCAAGTTTTGGGCTGGTAGAGTTATTGGTATCATCTTAAAGGTTGTCCACTTGTTTATATTTGGATGAAAAAAATATCCATTTATCTTGAATATAAGTTGAGATATTTGTGAAAGAAGGAGGTGGGGGTCACCAGTTTTCAGAGGTAAAATTAGTGAGAAAGTGGCTTCCAAAGATTAGTTATTTCCTTTGCTTAAGAGTCCGTTGTAACTGAAAATTTAAGCTTTCGTGGCTTTAATCAAAGCTTTTTCAGGAAAATCCACACCGAAATGAGTTCTTTAATGGGCATAAAAGATGTTGAGACAAAAAACAAAAATTTGATAAAAATTCACAAACCTGCGGAAAAATGCATGTTTCTTCACTGTGGTTATTTTGACGAGAGCCTGATTCCACCACGCTGCCTCACAAATAATTCTGTCAAAAATACCCAAGAGGGTAGGCCTACGTGCACTACACAAAACCAATAGCGCCTAAACTAACAAAGAAAGGTGTACGCTGTAAGTGATTGCTCTATTTTCCGTTTTGTGGGAAACTATTGTGAAGGAAAATCGTAATCAAATATTGTTTATTGCAGAGTCAAAAGTCTTCTTTCGTTGGATATGCAATGTAGGCCTTTGTCCATTCTATCAATATTGATGCCCCTCAATGCATGAGCGAAGACAAGTTTGTCTGATTTTGGCACAGTTTTGCCAAGCCTGATTTGTTAAGGTCAGTTTTGAGTGACCATATCTTAGGGGTCTCTTAACATTGATGAATTATTAATGCGTCTAATGATGCGAAATTTATTTAGCTTTAAATTGGTTACTGCATGGGAAGGTATCTCAAGGCTTTAACACGATGACTGGGTGATTACATTTTCAAGTTTCTTTTGGACACCACTGTGTATTACTCTCATCAAAAAATTCAATATGAAAAGAAAAGTAAAGCTGACAATAATGAACATATCACATAAGACACAGAAGCCTACATCTGGTTCCGGCCACTTTTCTCTCCCCTGCACAGAATTCGTCAAATTCATCATCGCGCCCTGCATCTAAAAGTCTGGACCTCTTGGAGTAAGTCAGACTTTTCCTCTCTATGGATACATAAATGCTGTACCCTGTGGCCAGTCCCCCCTAGATGTTTTCTGTGTCTTTGTATAACAATATCTTTACACTTTGTTCTATGGTGTATCACACTTATACTTTTTTTATACGCATGTTCATTCTCCCACTTTTTTCTTCCTCTGTGTCGATATTGTCGTAAAACATGTACTCAAACTCAAGCTTTATTTCCCCTTTGATGGCCTGGTGTGGTAGATCTAAGATACTACTTTTGTGTGTTCGTGGGAACGTTGTTGAGCATTGAGAACAGAGCAAGTTGTTGGCCCTGAGTATCAGAGTATCAGAGATTTTAGCAATAAATCAAAAGACATCCTGTGAACTGTCTTAACTCCTCCACCACCACCACCCCCCCAACCCCTGATACTCCCCATCTGTACAGATGACAAGAGCAGCCGGAGTCCACTTCGCAAACATTTCTCTGGTCTATCCAAAACATGGGCAAGACACTTGAGCTATAGTTTTGCGTGTAAAAATGTATACTACAGGTATATGAACATTTTTCCGTTTCTGGGTATTTCTGCTGTGCTAAAGTTTCGTTTTGTGTGATTGTAGATATTTCTTGTCTTTTCGTACCCTTTGGGATAAGGTTACCTTTAATGGAATACCACACTTACATAGGCCTACACTAACTGCTTTTTGAGATTTCGTCAGTTATTAGGCCTACTCTATTTGCAGCCTAGGCGATGACTACCCATCAACTGTGAGATCCATTATCAAATTGTTGATCGATCTAAATCAACAGCTTGGCGCTCATATGACCTTATGCAGTTGTAAAACCTCTACTAAAACATTTTTATTTCTTAATCAACGGCTGATAACTCCCTACTTTGTTGTGTACTTTGAACATGCGGCGACTAACATCGATAGGGATTTTCTCATCTGTATCTAGTACGATTAATGTAGTGGGAAACTTTAACTATGACATTACCTTGCTCAGAACATCGCTCCATAATGTTGACAAAGTCTAAACATTATTTATTCTAATCAACATCTTACTACACACAGTGTGTTCATATGACCTAATGCAGCTGTGAGCGCCGTAAAACTCTCACCAAAATAGACACACACATTATCCACAGCTTTGCTAGACTCACGTAACTGTGCTTAGTTTCTACAACTGCGTTAACTGCTCACATGCTATCTGACTACATGTATTTGTCAAAATTGTGTCACCCTGCACCCTTTTTTCCGGCACCTGATTTTATTTTTGGTAGATTGTAGAATACTGCCCGCTTTGTTCATCGTTCCATAGTCTCTAGATGGCTGTTATTGTTCAATGTTATATTGTCTAAAATTGGTCGCCTTTAAGCACAAGGGGGCTATCCCGAAAAATTTTGTTTTGAGAAAATCGAAGTTAAAGTTTTTGGACCCGTGTTCAGTTTCTTTAAAAGACAAGGAGAGTTTTCTCTATGACCAAACAAATATAAACTCCAAATGAAACCTAAGCTCTCCTATAGGTAGGGCAATGCCAACTTTTGGTGTAGGTCAAGATTTCTGGAAACCCCCGATATGTGGGTTAGCCCGCTTGTCCTTATAAAAAGCGACCAATTAATGCCTCGCAGTCTTCCAAGTTTCATGGTCTACAGGTAATACGTAATTGTTGAAATCCTGATGTTTCCTGTGCTACGTTTGCTATCATGGTTTACATTTTGCAATATATTTTGATTAATTATTTAATCTGGAACTCGAAAATGAATCTTACTTCTTTCTTCAAAATGTGCTGTTTTAATTCACTAACATTCCGTGGAACATAATATATTTCCCCTCATCCTTCTAAAGATTGGTATACAAGATGTGTTTGCCAAGTCTTTGTCATAGAAATTTGTAGGCTATCTCCTCAATTTCTTTTCTTCAACTAAGTTAGAGACGAATACTCCCCC